ATAAAGTGCTTCTCAGATAAGGTCAAGTTAAAGGAGTTCATCATCACCTAGCCCTTATTATATGAAATGTTAAAGGAGCTTATCTAAGAAAATAAAAAACATGTATAGTAAAATGACAGAAAACTCACAATTATTAACAACCACACCTAAAACAAAAACAAAGGCAAACAACTAGAACAGGAACAGAACCACAGAAATGGAGATGACATAGAGGGTTAGCAACAGGGGAATGGGGAGAGGGAAAGAGGGGGAAAAGGTTCAGAAAAATAAGTAGAATAGATGGTAGGTAGAAAATAGACAGGGGGAGGTTAAGAATAGTATCGGAAATGTACAAGCCAAAGAACTCATGTGTACAACCCACGGTCATCAACTAAAGGGGAGGAACATGGGTGTGAGGGGGTGTGCAGGGTGGAGGGGAGTGAAGGGGGGAAAATGGGACAACTGTAATAGCATAATCAATAAAATACATTTAAAAAAAAGTTCAAGGGCAAAAAAGAAAAGCAGTTAGTTACCTACAAGGGAGCTCCACGAGACTCTCAGTTGATTTCTCAAAAGAAACTTTGCAGGCTAGAAGGGATTGGCAAGAAATATTCAAAGAGATGAAAAGCAAGGACCTACAACCAAGAATATTCTACCCAGCAAAGTTATCATTTAGAATCAAAGGATGGATAAAGAGCTTCCCAGACAAGAAGAAGCTAAAGGAGTTCATCTTCACCAAACCAATATTACATGAAATGTTAAAAGGTCTTAATATGAAAAAGAAAATTAAAAAATATAAGCAAGAAAATGGCAATGAATGTTTTCAATGGTGCTAGATGGGATGGGTGAAAAAGGTGAGGGGATTAAGAAGTACAATTTAGTAGTTACAGAATAGCCATGAGGATGTAAAGTTCAGCATAAGAAACAGTAGCCAAAGAACATATATGCATGACCCACAGACATGAACAGTGGCATGGAAGTGGGGGCTAGGTAGTGGGGCAACGGTGGAAAAATTGGGGTGAGTGTAATAGCATAATCAGTAAAATATAATTTAAAAAAGAAAAATAAGTGTCACCTTTGTTACAGGAGGTATATAATTTTTCCCAGGTTGTTTACCTTTAACTTTGTTCAAGGTATTTTTGCCATACAAAATTTTAAAGTCAAATTATTAATTTTTTAAGAGTTCTGAGTATTTCTGTGTTGCATAGAAAAGCACATACTCCTACAACTCAATAGCAAAAGAGCAAATAATTTTATTGAAATGAGCAAAGGACCTAAATAAACATTTTCCAAAGAAGGCATTCAAATGGGCAATAGGTATCGAAATATAAAAAAATGCTCTGATGATACTAATTGTCAGGAAAATGCAAATCAAAACCACAATGAGATATCAACTCACACCTGTTAGAATGGCTATTATCAAAAAGACGAGATAGCAAGTACTTTGCAGGGGGGATATGCAGAGAAAAGGGAACTCCCATAGTGCATATGGGAATGTAAAGTGGTTTAGCCATTATGAAAAACAGTATGGCAATTTCTCAAAAAATTTAAAACTTAGAGCTACCACATGGTCCAGCAAATCCACATCTGGGTATGTGTCTGAAGAGAATGAAATCACTGTCTTGAGGACATATCAGCATCGCATTATTCACAATGGCCAAGGCATGGAAATAACCTAAGTGTCCATTGAGGGATGAATGAATTAAGAAATTGTGGTATGCCCTGGCCAAGTGGCTCAGTTTGTTGGCACATAATCCCATGCACCAAATGGTTGCAGGTTCAATCCCTGCTCAGGGCACATACCCAGGATGCAGTTTGATCCCTGGTTTCGGTGTATGTGCAAGGCAGTTGATCAATTTTTTTTCCTCTCTCTCTCTCTAAAATTAATAGAACATATCTTGGGGTAAGGACTGAATGAAAAAAGAAAGATGTGGTCTGGCCCTGGGTGATATGGCTCAGTGGATTGAGTACCGGCCTGCGAACCGAAAGATGTGGTCTACATGTACATACAATGGAATATCACTCCACCATAAAAGGAAGGCAATCCTGCCATTTGCAACAACATGAATGAACCTTGAGGGTATTATAAGTAAAATAAGCCAGACAAAGAAAGAAAATACAAAAAAATAGACCTTATTTTATAGAAACAGAATAGAATGGTGGTTGCCAGCAGTTGGGGAAATGGGGAGATGTAGGTCAAAGGGTACAAACTTTCGGTTACATGATGTAGTAGTTCTGAGGACCTAATTAATGGACAGCATGATTACTACAGTTAATAATTCGGTATTGAATACTTGAAAGTTTCTGAGAGTAAGTCTTAAGAATTCTCAGCATACACATAAAAAATTAACTATGTGAGGTAAAGGATGTGTTAATTATCTTGATCTTAGAAGCATTCCACCAATGCATATGTACACTTTAAATATATACAATTAATTTTGTCAATTATCCCTCAGTAAAGTTGAGGGGAAAGAAAGAAAAGCATTCCCTACTGTGAGATCATTTTCTTTTAATTTTTTCCAATAATTTTATAATTCCATGTTTACATAAATACTTGATCCATGGTGTTTGTTTTGGTGTAATGAAAGAGAGAGCAGTCCAATTATAATTCTCCTCCCCGACAATGGTTAGTCAATACCTAAGGCCATTTATGGAATAATTATCTTTTCCTCATTGATCAGAAATCCTACCTTTATCACAACCATATTGACAGATATTGGACATATTTCTGGGTTTTCTGCTCTGTTCCATTGATCTGCCTGTACCAGTTGCAAAATGTTTTATGTGGTGTAGACTTATATAGGTTTCTTCAAAATATTTTATTTATTTACTTTTAGAGAGAGAAAGGAGAGAGGAAGAGAAACATCCACATGCAAGAGACACACATGGTTGCCTCTCACACCCCCCCAAATGGGGACATGGCCCACAACCCAGGCATGTGCCCTGACTGGGAATCAAATTGGCAACCTTTCTGTTCATAGGCCAGCACTCAATCTGCTGAGCCACACCAGCCAGGGAAACTTATATGTTTCAATATCTGACAGAAATTATTTATTTTTATTGATCTCTATAAACTCTATAATTGCAGTTTGCCAAAATAATGCTGGTGTTAATATTTTTCTTGGAATAGAGTTAAATTCAAAAGTTAATTTAGGAATAACTGATAGCTAAAATACTTAGTGCTTCCACTCAAATTCTTTTTTATGTTATTCAGTAATATTTTAACATTTTCTTCATCTCTACATTCCACATTTCTTGTTGGACTTATTTCTGAGTTACAAGTAAGTCCAACAATAAATGGACTTACCTTTTTTGTTACAACTATAAATTGATGTTTTCTTTCATTATATTTTCTAGGTGGGTATATGGGTATAGGAAAGCTATGAATTTTTATTTTACATTTGTTCCCACTTTACCAAATTGTTTTTTTGTTTGAAGTATCTTTTTCAGTTGATTCTCTTCAGTTTTCAAGTTGTACCATAGGCATGTCATAATTCTGATTCCTCCTATTCAAGTTTTATAGTTCATTTTTTAAAAATTATAGTTTTTTGCCCTGGCTGGTGTAGCGCAGTGGATTGAGCGCAGGCTGCGAACCAAAGCATCGCAGGTTCCATTCCCAGTCAGGGCACATGCCTGGGTTGCAGGCCTTGGCCCCCAGCAACCGCACATTGATGTTTCTCTCTCTCTCTCTCTCTCTCTCTCTTTCTCCCTCCCTTCCCTCTCGAAAAATAAATATATAAAAACTTTTTTAAAAAGTATAGTTTTTTAAAAAAAATTTCACTGGTTAATAACTTCAAAAAATAGTAAAGTAGTGGTAATAGTCAACATTAAAATGTTTTTCTTTTTATTTATGGGAATGCTTTTAGTGTTCCCGATCAAACATTATGTAGTCTTCTTGCTTGAGATATATTTTATCATGTTAGCATATGTATTCCAACTTCAATCAGTAATGTATACAAAACAACATAAATGCTTCTAGCATTAAACAGTGCAAGCAAAATACAAAAAAAGTTATTAAATTGTCCTTGGTTTTACAATGATAAATAAAAAGCTTTAAAACTCTCCAATCAAACAAGGTGTGCAAGAATTTTGGTGTTGTTGTTTATTTGTTGATAAACAATGAGAGCAAGATACAAAAAGTTATAATTTTTTTAGCATTTATGGAATAATCATAAGACTTTCTTAGCTCTAGTAAAATGAAAAATTTCCTAAGATTAAATCATGCTTGCAAGTAGAATCCAGCTGGGGTTCGTGCCAAAAATGCTACTGCTGTATTTAGGATTCTGCATCAGAATTCCTAAGTGAGAATCTAGCCGCCTGCAAACTTTTTATGTCAGGAGCCAAATAGTAAGTATTTTAGCTTTTGTGAGCCACATACTGTCTCTGTTGCATACTCTTTTTTTTTTTTTTAGTCCTTTAAAATGGTAAAAACCATTCCTAGTTTGTGAGCAGTACCAAATAGGCCATGGGTCAGATTTAGCCTTAGGCAATAGTTTCTCAACTCCTGGCATATAGTTTTCTTATATTATATTGGCATCATAAAGTAACTAATGAAATCTTAAATTTAACCATTCTTTGATAGAAATATTTATTGGAAATATAATTTAATATTGTGAAAAAGTGCTCAAGGAGATGAAGGCCAAGCTATAACCCCTTCAAATATATTTATCACACCCTGACCAACATGACTCGGTTGGGCATCAAATCAGCAAAGCAAAAGACCACCAGTTTGATTCCCAGTTAGGGCACATGCCTGGGTTGCAGGCGCAGTCCCCAGTTGGGGTGTGCCCGAAAGGCAACCGATTGATGTTTCTCTCACACTTTAATGTTTCACTCCCTCTCTTTCCCCTCCCTTTCCTTCTCTCTAAAAATAAATAAATAAAATCTTTAAAAAATGTTTGTCACCTAGTCTGCCTCATGCAATTTGCTGCAGCTGTGAAGAGCGTGTATAACTGCCCCCTCCAAGAAGAATAAGACAGAAGCAGAAGTTCTCAGACACAACCACAGAGAGCTGCACCTACCTCCGCACCTCCCAGCCAGTCGGCAGACCCTTCTCGGTAGGTGTTCAGGTACCCATCCACTAGGGTGGTTAGGTCAGACATCATCTCATCTAGGAGCACCAGGCGAAGGGGTAGCAGGTAGGTGGCTTCTAGAGCCAAAATTTTCAGTAAGGAGGGTGAAAGAGGTCGTGTAAACCACACTTCTGTATTCTCCTAGAGACACCAAAACAATTTTCTGTGAATAGTAAGCAAAACTTTAAAGAAAATAATTGTTTATTTAAGTGTTGTTTAACTTAAAACACTATTACTGTCATTTTCATCAGTTATTACCTTCTACTTTCACACTGTGGCTAGGCTTTGGAGAACACGCACCCACTTTATGTGTGTTGTGTGTGTAATTTGGGGGGAAGATTCAGGGAGACAGGAAAGGACAAGGAGAGGAAGGGAGGGGGAAGGAAGGTAGGGGAGAAAGAGGGGGAGGGAGGAGAGGGATGGAGACAGGATGGGGGAGAGAGACAGAGAAATCAGAATTTATTTAAAAATGGAAGCCGTAGCAGGGGAGAGGATTAACGGGGGAAAGAAGGGGAAGGGCTGTCAAGGAACATGTATAAAGGACCCACAGACAAAGCCAAAGAGGAGTAGGATTGAGGGTGCAAGTGGGGGGCAGTGGGGCAGTGGAGAGTGATGGGGGGAAATGGAGACAGCTGTACTTGAATAAAAAAAAACTGGAGGCAGCAGACTTGGTTATGTGGACAAAATTATAGCCCATATGGTCTAGACCCCAGTTTGGCATGCAAGACTATCAAGAGGTAAATAAAATCTACTTTACTTTGAGAGGAAATAATTGGGATTATTTTTGTTCTATTGCTTAGTCCAAATTCTCAACCTAATAATCATCCCTTGTCCCAGCTTTAAAATGTATTTCAGACTGCTTTTAAATTGATAAACAACGAATCTGGATCCTGGCTCTTATCTACTCGAGAGCAGAAACAAATGGTTCCCATTAGGAACAACTAACATTTTAGCAATGTTCCCATGCTTACACGGCAGCTGTCGTTTCTCTGGAGAATATGCTGATAACCCCACTCAGAAAACCCTTGAAAAAATTAATGTCATAAGGGATATCCTTTAATACTCACCCGAATCAGTTTCTGTCTCTCTTCCAGAAAGGAAAGATATTTAGGGGCTACTTTAAGGTGTCTTATTAAACTCTCCTGTAAAGTACTGATGCAGTTTGGAAGAAAGCCACCTGTTTCCATGGAAAATTGAAGGACATCTGCCACCTGTGGCAATAAAAAAAAAGACAAAGAGACCAATCTATAGAATGTATACACAGAGCCATCTTCTGGAAGAACTATATTTAGAGAAATGTCTTTAAATACCATTTTCTCCAAGAATCCACATGGAAATTTAAAGTGATACAGTAAACTTATTCTGAAAAAATAGGGGAAGAAAAGAAAAAAGATCACCAATTTTAATGTGTCCTTATCTACTTTCTTTTCCACTTTTTTATTTGCCTGCTTTATGGCTATTTATTTCTTTTTGGTGCCTCTGGAAAATAGGGAATGATGAAATTCAAGCATTATTTTTATTACTTTATTAACAACTCTGGTAAAGTTTTGGTAAGGAAAGTTAATAAAATTAGGAATTGAAATAATTATTTATCTGTGTGTGATAGGCTAAATAATGGTCCCCAAAGAGGTCTAATCCCACTTCCTGGAACCCGTGAACGTAATTTTACATGGCAAAATGGAATCTGAAGCTGTAATTAAGGATCTTGGGATAGGGAGATTATCTTGAATTATCCAGGGGCAGGGGCTAAATGTATCACAAGTATTCTCATAAGAGGGAGGCTGAGGGAGACTTTGCTATGGCAGGAGAGACTGGAGTGGTGCGCTGTGAAGATGGAAGAAGCACAAGCCAAAGAATACAGATGGAAAAAGCAAGGAAACAGACTCTTCCCCATCAGAGTTTCCAGAAGAAACCAGCCCTGCTGATACCTTGACTTCAACCCAATGAGCATGATTTCAGACTTCTGACCTCCACAACTGTAAGGGAGTAAATTAATGTTGTTTAAGCCACTAAATTTGTGGTTTGTTACAATGGCAAGAGAAAACTAGTACATTGTATTAAAGGAAAACAAATTAGGAAAACTCTCAATTCCTGTTTCTTGCTCTATGGAAATCTGAAAAGAAAAATATGGAAAAATATGCCTGTGACTTCATTACACAATACACATGGGGTCAAGGGAACAATGAACAATTATCTTGCATTTGAAGTAAGCACAAAGGCAATCTCTATAGAGCGAAAGATCCTGAAAGAAGGCCCAAAGGAACATGTAAATGAGCAGATACATAAAGGGCAAACTCAATCACATATAATAACTAGAAAATTGAACTTTTAGGAATTTCCACTCAAAAATAATTGGCAATTCATTAGTTTAAGCCCTCTCCAAAGGCTCTAGGGCTTATATATTCAAGATCTCCCTTCCACTAGCATAAACCTAGAAGAACCTTATGAAAACTAGTGGTTTTCCTGCTCTCACAGGCAAATCATGCTCTAAGAGATAGTATAGTATAAGAATTTCTCATTTCCCTGGGGCCCTTTAGAGCAGAGAAGAATCACATATCTTCAGGCTATATGGGGGCCAAAATAGGCTTTTGGGGCACATCTAGGACAACCTGCATCCCTGAGCTAGATGTCAACTAGCCACAAGCTTTAACTCATACATATGTGGAAAAGGCAGAGATATGATTGTTCACCTCATACTAAGTGTCCCATGGCAGACCTCTGAATGACCCCCAAATTGTTCAAGTTTCTAAATGTTGTAGAGTATGGAGCTTGCTCCTTATTTAACAAATTCTGGAGCAAAATAAGGGGGGAAATCCTAAATACTTTTATGTAACTTTTCTGCAGTGATTTTAGAGTTCATCAAATGATCTCACATATTATACAAACATCTTACATGAGAAATGAGTGGGAATGGGACACACACACAAAAAGACTTTCGACCACTCATCAGACAAGGCCTGTTTTCTAGAAGAGCTACGTGCAGTAGGTTGAATCCAGTGTTTCCTTGCATGTACCTGTGTATCGAAGACATTATTCAGCAAAATTCCATACTGATGAGAGAGGCAATCAGAAAGCCAACGGCAATCATGGATAACCTAACATATCAAAAGACAGAGACAGAGTAATTAGAACCTGGCTGCAAATTTTACTAGCAGAGGAATCTGCTTACACACTCACCTTCAAAATTCTCTTGTCTTCTAATACCATCTGTAGTCCATTGTTGAAAGCATGACTTCCCAGCAGAAGAATGTCAAATAAGTAGACACGACTATTTGTAGCCACCTACAATAAACCACCCAGACCCACATGTTATAGAGTAAGAAAGAACTAGGGAAGGGAATTTGAGGGCCAAGAGAGACATGATAAAATATTTAACAGCCTCACTTTTAAAGTAAACAATAGGGCATTCAATATTCTTAGAGAAATTGGATTTACAGTGATCTTAAGTTTTAAAAAAAGACAGTATGACTATAATTTTCAAAAGAAACAGACAAGCTGGTAATTTAACCTTTCACTTTTCACTGTCCCAACTGTGTTTTACCAGCCTCACCTATGGCATTCTAATATCCCAGGGATTAGAGGTTTAAGGGGAATAAACAGTATTTTGTTAACAACACAAAATGCTTTTTTATGTTTCTGAGTTACCTAATGGGAATGAATGGGTTAAGTATTATGTGAAATTACTCATAAGAGAAGATCCCAGTCCCCTAGCAGGAAAAAAAGGTCAACAAGTACACTGGCACAAATGGCAGGATGTGAAACACTGCTTTATAAATCAATTTCATACAATCATAAGAATTCTTGATTGTTTCTGATCATAAAAGTCACAGAAGCAGTACAGTTAGATAATCTACTGAGTCAGAGAGTGTAAGGCAAAAACAATGCAAATAGGTCTAGGGAGCCAGCCATGCGACAGGCTGATGCTATCTGTGTCATTTCAGGAGCTAACTGTTGTTATAGCTACAATTGCCAGGCCTACCTGGCACCTGTTCTTGGATCCTTCATGATAGTTGCTAGAATTTGACATCTAAATAATCAATCCCTGCTATTTTTCCCTATATTTTTAATTATAAAAATTGAGTCAACACTAAAAGTTTGGAAAATAATTCTCTGCTAGACTGTACATTCTATGAAACAAGAGATTATGTTGGACTCACCACCACACATGCAACTAGAACAGAGCCAGGCATGTGGATGGCTGCTACACATTTTTCAGCACATCAATGCATGCCATGCAATATTCCCTTCTATTTTTCATATGCAAAAAATGTACATGGCTCCAATAATATGCATCCAAATCTATACCCTGCTTTTTCCATTAATGAACTTTCAAATATTTTTCTATATCACAGTTGTCATCATTTTTCGGCATTCATAAGAAGTTATAAAATGTACTATGACTTCTCTTATTAACTATTTAAATGGTTTCTGACTTTTCACCATTGTAAATGATGCTAAGTGAAATAGATTCTCACATATTCTTTCTTCATATTTTGAATTATTTAGGATAGATTCCTAGAAGTGGCCCTGAGAAATGAGCCAAAGGATATTAAAAAAACTTTAACTCTTAACAAATATTTGCTAGCTTCATCTTATTATTTTTAATTCTAAGTAATTTTATATTTTTCAATTACAGTTGACATACATTAGTTTCAGATATACAATCCAGTGAGTAGACACTTATATAACTTACAAAGTGATCACCCCGATAAAACTGGTATCCACTTGACACCATTCATAGTTATTACTTGACTATATTACCTACGCTGTACTTTACATGACTATTCTGTAACTACCAATTTGTACTTCTTAAATCCCTTCACATTTTCACCCATTCCCCACTAAGGTACTCATTCCGTGACTGGGAATTGAACCAGTGACCCCTTGCTTTATAGGCCAACCCTCAATCCACTGAACCACACCAGCCAGGGCCATTTTGTTCATCTTTTCTTTTGTTGTGCATAAACTTTTTAGTTTGATACAGTCTCATGTGTTTACTTTTGTTTTTGTTGCTTGTGGAGGTTTAAGTAATTTGCATTGGTGCTGCTAACACAAACCTAGTCATCTAAAAGCTAAGGTTTACCAAGACAGTGCAAGGAACAAGAGAGGCAATTTAATCCTTAAGCAAAACTGGGCTTGATACCTCCATTAATTTCCCTTCGAGAAGGTGAACATTCCAGAAGAAGAATGTCAAAAGGGCAGAATGCCAATCCTAATAAAAAATATCATCTCAGTAGGTGGAGGTACGTCTTGACTCAAAGGATAGAAGACATTGTTCGGGTATTTGACCCCTTAAATGCTGAAGCTGCTCACTTTGATGCTAAGGTAGCTACCCAACCTCTAGCTATGCAAGGCTCACTACAAAGTTCTTTTGATATAATGGGGATCCTTACCTGACATCTCTCAGGTCCAGGAAAATAAAAAGGATGTGGTAGAAACCTGCTGTGGAAAGCTACCAAACAAAAGGAAAGATGAAGAACTCTTCATATATCTAAGGCAAGAGAACAGAGCTGGGAAAGAAGGCCAGGGTCTGTGGGACAGCAATAACTATTATAAAAGCGAATCTGTGGACAGAAATTCTTCTTTTGAAAAGAATAAACTCAATAGTAAAAGAGTGAAAGATGTTCCGCATAAGTTACAGTACAGTGATACTTGGGTGACACACAGAAGACAATTAAAATAAATTTACCCAGTGAGTCTACAATTATTTGAAAATAAAGTTTTTTTTTAATTATTTTTTACCTGAAGCCAACATAGTTTCCCATGACGACAAACATTTGCTCCTTCTGCAGCCACACCCAAGACACTCTGCTTCTTGATGTGGAGCATCTAATAAGAAAAGGAAGAAAATATAATTCTCTAGGGAATTAATTTTGCAATTATGGTATCATTGATGACACAAGTAAAATGAAAAAAAGTAGATCACATTTTTTAAATTCACAGAATCTTACTAATCCAAAACAGGAGTCTGCTTCATACACACACACCCCCCCACCACCACCACTACGCCACACCACTAAACACTTGTGATCCTTTTTTCAGTTTTCGCAAAATTATTCCACAACCGGAAAATAAATCATTCATATCCCCAATGCTAGTAAGAACTGAAAACTTTGGTATCTTTTGTTACCACTGAGGCAACAGAGAAAGATGCATCAAAGAATAGCACCGTAACACAGGGCAACTTATTGTACCTGAAGGGAACTCACGTAGCAGCTGAGTTTCACAGTATCTACTGCTCAGAATCAGAGAAACAAGGATTCAACAAGTCCCTTCAAGTCTTGGATTCATTAAATTACTCAAAACTGAAAGAGTGGTAACCCAGGAACATATGTTGGTCCTTTGATTATCTATACTCTTACCCTATTTCAAAAGATATATAAAAGTATTTCAAAAGTTTATATAACTCTAGGATTCTTAATCTACAATCTATAAAAATATCTGCATGATACAAGATACTCCGTATTTTACAGGTAGGTAAATTACTCAAGAATTCAAGGGCATGGTAACTTACACTAACACAGTATCTTCCTTTAGAGCAGGGGTGTCAAACTCATTTTCACCAGGGGCCACATCAGCCTCGCAGTTGCCTTCAAAGGGCCGAATGTAACTTTAGGACTGTATAAATGTAACTGCTCCTTAACTAGGGGCAAGGAGCTCAGCAGGCACTGGGTAGAAACAAGGTGCCGACTGGATAAAACAAGGTGGAGGGCCGGATTCAGCCCACGGGACTTGTGTTTGTCACCTGTGCTTTAGAGAGTAAAGTGTTCTACATCCTGAGTATCTTTTATCACCAATGAAAAAAGGAGAATGAAGTTTAGTTCCATCCTCAATCAACAGGAAGGCTGCAGAACTGGGAATAAAGGCTAGACTTCCCTATTGATAAGAATTTCCAACTACCTCTTCAAATTTCCAAAACAAAAGTTCTTATTCCATTTTTGTTGTCATGGACCCTTTAAACAATATATTGATATAGAAAGAATTCTTATAACTTAATTTAAAAATAGGCAAAAGTCAGAAACTACTATAAAGGACACATGGACAAAACCAAGAGGGAGGATGGAAGCAAGGGAGGGAGGTGGGTTGATGGGGGTGGCAGGGAGGGGTGGGGAGAAAATACAGACAACTGCAATTGAACAACAATAAAGTAACTTTAAAAAGTCTCAAAAAAAAAAAGTGGGCAAAATAGACATCTCTCTGAAGAAGGTATTCAAATAGCCAAAAGCCACATTAAAAAATAGTCAACATTATTAGCTAGCAGGGAAATGCAAATCCAAACCACAGTGAGATGCCATTTCACACTACTAGAATGACTATAATCAAAATGACAGGCAACATAGTCTCAAGGCTGTCAATATCATCAGAGGCTAACTCTTGGATTTATATCTCCACCTGAGACTATTTTCCTCATCTCTAGACTTACATTCAAACTTAGGTTGACAGAAACTAAAGTCCTAATTATCTCCCCCAAAACTTTTCCACCCATACTCTTTCCCATCTCAGTTTAATAGCAACTCCACACTTCAGGTAAGAATGTGGAGAAATTGGAACCCTCACATCCTGCTGGTGGGAGTGTCAAATGGTACAGCAGCTTTGCAAAACAGTATGGCCAATCCTTAAAAAATTCAACAGCAATTCTACTCCCAGGTATCTATCCAAGATAAATGAAAACATATGTCCACACAAAAACCTGTACATGAATGTTCACAGCAGCACTGTTTATAATAGCCAAAAAGTAGAAACAATCCAAATGTCCCTCAAATGGCAAAAGGATAAATGAAATGTGGTATATCCATACACAGGAATATTTGGCAATAAAAATAAGTGAAATACTGGTATAAGCTATTACATAGATGAACCTTTAAAATGTTATGCTAAGCAAAAGAATTCAGCTACAAATGAAAATATATTATATGGTCCCATTTTTATGAAATGTCTTAAAACACTCAAATCCATAGAGGCCAGAAGTAGATTAGTGGCTATCTGGGGCTAGGGAGGTGTCAGAGGTGATGGCTAAGGAGTATGGGGTTTCTTATGGGAGTATTCGAATGTTCTAAAAATTATTTTGGTGATAGATGTACACAACTCTTTGAATACATTAAAAGTTAGAGAACTGTACATTTTAAATCGGTGAGTTTATGGCACGTGCATTATATCTCAACAAAGCTGTTTTTAAAAAAAGATTCTGTGAGAAGCTAACACTCTCTCAAAAAATGTACCCATGAGGCTTCTGGTCAAGATGGCAATGTAAACAGACATGGCTCACCTCTTGGCACAACTACATCAAACTTAACAACTAAAAGAAAGAACAACCATCACCCAGGAACATCAGAAATCCAGTTGAATGAAAGTCTGACAACGACGGAATCGAAGAAACCACATCCACCCAGACTGATAGGAAGAGCGTGGATGGGGAACATGCTGGCCACACACCCACATGGATAATTTGAGAGGGATGTCTTGGGAGTAAGGAGTCCCAGACCCATACCAAGTCCCAAACCCAGGATTCCAGTGCCAGGAAGATAAGTCCCTACAACTTCTGGCTGCAAAAACCAGCAGGGAATGAGTTGGTGAAGGAGGCCGTTGGAGCCCTAAGCGGTTCTTCTTGGGGAACCCACACACAGACTCCCCTACTCAGACTGGCTCTCTGTGCTCCAGCACCAGGGTGGCAGCTTGAAAGGCATTAGTGGTACACAGGGAGAGACTGAAGTGTCTGGCACTGGGGTGAGCAGAGGTCATTGTCCCTTTGCTGAGTCCTCGCCACAAGAGCTAGTAGACTGGTACCATATCCGAGGCTCCATCAACCAGGCTAACGCAGTGTGACCCACTATGGAGATCTACAGAGGCTCTACCTCACCCAATTTATGGGCCCATCCAAGCTGCTTTTCCATAAGAATGGCTGGTCTTAGCTCCTAAATCCTATCCAACAAGCCACAGCTGGCCTCAGTGAGGCCTAGTGGTAGCCAGATTAGAGTCACAACTTGGCTTCACCTGGGAATCTCCAAGCCCAACACAAGTAGCAGCCATCTCAGAATGCTTTACAGCTCAGGCAGGGTGCCCTGGGCAAAACACAGGTGGGCTGACTTTGACCTGCACCACCCAGGAAACCCCAGGGCCAAACGTCCAGTAGACAGTTACAGACTACCTTGGAGCACCACCCTGCCCCTGCACAGCTGATCCTCCACGGAGGGTGCAGGTTGGTGTTAAGTGGTCACAGCCAGTCCTTGCAGCTCACTGGCCTGGGTAAATCCTTCCCATTGATCTGCCAACAGCAACCAAGGCTCAACTAAGAGCAAGTACTCTGCCCACACAAAGGACACAAGCGAGTACCCCACTTGAGTGACAGGGAAGGTTATGCCATTGGACCCTATAGGACACCTACTACATTAGGCCACAGTAGCATGACATAGAGGCAAAGCAGCTCTACCTAATACATAGAAACAAACACAGGGAGGTTGACAAAATGAGGAGACATGGCCCAAATGAAAGAATGGATCAAAACTCCAGAAAAAGAGCTAAATGAAATGGAGATGAGCTATCCACCAGATGCAGAGTTCAACACACTGGTTATAAGGATGTTCAAGGACCTTAAGAAGGACCTCAGCTGCATAAAAAAGACCCAGTCAGAAATGAAGGATACACTAACTGCAATAAAGAACACTTTATAGGGAAACAACAGTGGAGTGGATGAAGCCAAGAATCAAATCAATGATTTGGAACATAAGGAAGCAAAAAACAACCACAAAGAACAAGAAAAAAGAATACAAAAAATGAGTATAGTATAAACAGCCTCTGGGACAACTTTAAGAGGTCCAACATTTGCTTCATAGGGGTGCCAGAAAGAGAAGAGGAAGAGCAAGAAATCAGAAACTTCTCTGAAAATATAGTGAAAGAAAACTTCCCTAATTTGGTGAAGGAAAGAGACATGTAAGTCCAGGATATGCAAAGTCCCAATTATGATGGATGCAAAAAGATCCACTCCAAGATACATCATTATTAAAAGGCCAATGGTTAAAGATACAGAGAGACCCTTAACAGCAAGAGAAGTTACCAGAAAGTTGCCCCATGGGAGAAGGGAGAGGGAATGGGTGAAGCGGTGAGGGGATTGGGGATTAAGAAGTATGAATAGGTAGTTACAGAATAGGTGTGGGGATGTAAAGTACAGTGTAGGAAAATGGATTAGCTAAAGAACTTATACACATGACCCCTGGACATGAACAATGGTGGGGCATTGCCTGAGGGAGTAGGGGGTGCTGAGTGGAGGGGGGCAATGGGGGAAATATCAGGACAATGTAACAGCATAATCATAGAATAGAATTTTTAAATTAAAAAAAAAAAACACCCAGACTGGTGTGGCTCAGTGGATTGAGTGCTGGCCTGTGAACCAAAGGGTCACTGGTTCGATTCCCAGTCAGGGCACACACATGGGTGCGGGCCAGGTCCCAAGTTGGGGCATGCAAAAGGCAAATCACACATTGATGTTTCTCTCTCTCTCTCTTTCTCCTTCCCTTCCCCTCTCTCTAGAAACAAATAAATAAAATCTTTAGAACATTTTTAAAAATGCATCCATGCAGACACAAGCGTAAGCTTGCACATAAACAAGAAAGCACAATGACTCCCAGAAGTCCAACTGTGAACTGTACCCTAGGCTGCCATTCCTCAAAATAATAAATGGTTATAGAGAATCTGCCCAGACAGAGCATCTAGAATTGTCTCTTTAAAATATAACTAAAAATGAATTTCTGGCTTTCCTCTAAAAGTGCTAATGGTTGTCCATCTCACATGCCAAATTTAAAATCCTTATAATGTCTAAAAAGCCCTACCTGATCTACCTCCTGTTTCTTCTCATTTTCTGTTACTTTTCACTGTGGTCCTGCCACACTGACCTCCCCGCTGTTCCTTCACACAAGCCAAGTGTGCTTTAGTTTCAGGGCCTTGGTACTTGCTAATTACACCTTCCTTTAATTTCTTTACCTAGGTAGCCACATCCTTGGCTCTCTTCTTTCAGGTCTGTGTTCCAAAGTCATCTCTTCACAGAGGTTTTCTCTGTCTACAGACAGGAACTCTCTGTCACTCTATTCACCACACCACACTTTTTTTTTCCATAAATCTTATCACCAAATGATATAATTATTTATCTTCTTGCACTAAAATGTAAGCTCCTTATGGGCTGGAAACTGATTATTGTTTTACCCCAGACTTGAGAACAACGCCTGGCATACAGTAGGCACTCAAATATTTTGTTAAATTATTAGAGAAAACATCAATGATCAATTTCTCTTATAGTAAGAGAAAAATTCGTGAGACGTAGACATGATACTCATATGCAGACAAAACTAGGAATGACTGAGGTAATACTTACTGCGGCACCAAACTTCTGCTGGAACTGATCAATGACTGTGTATGTCACCTCTTCTTCCTCTACAAGGGAATGATGGTATTAGATATATTTGTCTTACTTGGAAATAGAGTAGCCTTCCCACTAATTTTAGCCATATTAATAAACTCTTACTCTATTGCAACTCAAACATCCAATGTTATTTCATTATCACCTGCATCAGCCCATCACACAGTGAACACTTAGCATCCTGTTTGTCAACTGAGAATAAACAAAAGCCCCATCATTGATGATTTTATGAATTGAACTATTTAGTCATTTCCTGTGATAATCCAGGAATGTTTCCCTCCTCATAGGTTTATGTCTTAAAATCCTTCAAGATATGCACTTTTTTAAACTTTATTTTTATTGTTGACACTATTACAGATGTCCCCATTTTACCCCACCCCTTTGCTTGCCTCCACCCAGCCCTCACCCTCCTTCCCTCTGGCCATCACCACACTGTTGTCTATGTCTCCGAGTTATGCATACATGCTCTTTGGCTAATCCCTTCCCCTTCTTTCATCTAGTCCTCTCTCCTCCCTCCCTCCCCAGTCTGTTCCATGTATCCAAACCTCTGGGGATTTTTTTGTTTAGCAGTTAATTTGGTTTATTAGAACCCACATATAAGTGAGATCACACAGTATTTTTTTTCCTCTGGCTGGCTTATTTCACTTAGCATAATAATCTCCAGGTCCATCCACGCTGTTGCAAAAGTGCATTCATAACAAAAAAATTACAGTTTAAAATAAAATTTTTAATTAAAAAAATTAGTCCTGCAGAAAGGCCAATGTCCACTCTTTTAGAATTCTCTGGGTTCTGAAAATTAATTATTTTTTAATTATGTAATTGAAAAGATTACAATTATGGTATAACATGAAGTTCTTCATCTCCCAACCTCTAAAACTTTGGAGTGGCACAGGACACAGTCCAAGTACCTCTTTCTTTTTTCTAACCATACTCACTCTCTTGGTGACCTATGTCTTCTAGTCTCAAGATTTTAAATATCACTTACAGTCTAACTCTTGAATTTATGGCTCCACCTCAGACCTTTCTCATAGATTTACATTCAAACTTAGGTTGACAGAAACTAAAATCCTAATTATCTCCCCAAAACCTTTTCCATCCATAGTCTTTCCCATCTCAGTTTAATAGCTCAGGCTCAAACCCCTGAAGTCATCCTTGGTTCTTCTCTTTCTCTCACATCCACATCTGATCTGTCAGCACGCCATGTGTGCTCCACCTCAAAGTACACCCAGAATTCCACTTCTTTTTTTCTTTTAAAGATTTTATTTATTTTTAGAGAGGGGGCAAGGGAGGGAGAAACATCGATGTGAGAGAGAACTATGGATCAGTTGCCTCTTGCACACGCCCCGACAGTGACAGAACCTGAAACCCAGGCGTGTTACCTGACCAGGAACTGAACAAGAGGCCTTTCGCTTTGTGGAATGACGCCCCACCAACTGGGCCACTCCGGTCAGGGCTGCCACTTCTTACCAGCCACACAGGTACTACTGGGGTCCAAGCCCCATCATACCCACTCATCCCAAAATATTTCAATAGCCTCCTGTACATGCTTTCATCCTTGCCCTCTTTACAGCATTTCTCCATACAGGCTTTAAAGAGGCTTGTTAAAACAAAAGTCAGATCACGTTACTTCACTGCTCAAAACTTTCCAATGGGAAATAAAAGTCTTAAAATAGTATACAATAGTATAATATGAAATACTTAGGGATAAATATGGAAAAAATATATGACATGCTGGGGACTACAAAACATTGCTGAGAAATTAAATCTAAACAAATGGAAAGATATACTAGGTAAATGGATTGGGACACTTAATATTGTTAAGATGCTAATATTCCCCTATCTATCAATTCAATGCAATCTCAATAAAAATTCCAGTAGGGTTTCTTTTTTTTTTTTGGTAGAAATTAACAGGCTAATTCTGAAGTTCATAGGGAAATTTTAAAAACTGAAAATAGCCAAAACAACTTGGAGAAAGAACATTACCCAACTTCAAGCATAAATCAATTGTAAACAGTCTATTGTTGGTGTAAAGATAAAGAAATAGATCAATGTCACAGAATAGAATGTTGAGAAATAAACCTACACATTTATAGACAACTGATTTTTGACAAAGGTGCAAATGTAATTGAGTGAAGAATATATAGTCTTTTAAACAAATGGTACTGGAACAACTGGTTATTCATTTGCAAAAAAGAAACTTTGATCCATACCTCATATCTATACAAAAAATAACTGAAAATGGATCATAGACCTAAATGTAAACCTAAAACTTATGAAACAGCTAGAAAAAAATACAGAGAAAATCTTTGTGACTTTGGGTTACAAAAAAACTTCTTAGATATAACACCAAAAGCATTACCCATGAAAGAAAATATAAATAAATTGTAGTTCATCAAAATTTAAAAAGTCTGCCCTTTGATACTTTAAGAGAATGAAAAGCCAGACCACAGATTTAGAGAAAATATTTACAAAGCATTTATGAGAAAAGACTTGTATCCAGAATATATAAAGAACTCCTAAGAAAATAATAAGAAAATACTTCAATAAGAAAAATGAGCAAAAGATATGAACAGACATTTTACCAAAGATATTCAATGCCAAATAAACACATAAAAAGATCTTCAAAATCCTGAGTCATTAGGGAAATGATAAATCCAAAAAATCTTCAGTGGCTTCTCTTCTCATTTCAGAGTAAAAGCCCCTTCAATGATTACAATGTCTTCCATGACCCACTGACCCCGCTTCATCTCCTACTACTCTCCTTGCTCCAGCACACTGATCTCCTTGCTGTTATGTCAAGATCCTGACATATTCCTAACTCAGGGTCTTTGCATTTGTTTTTTTCCCTGCCCCCCCCCCCGCCAAATATTTCCCACAGATATCCATATAGCTCCATCCCTCACCTCCTCCAGGCCATTATTCAAATGTCACCATTTCAATAAGGCATATCCTGGACACCCTCAATTGTAAAACCACCCTCTCCACAGACATCTACTCTTTCTTCCTTTTTTCTCTCCACAGCATCTGGCACTAGCATAGTATATATTATAGCCATTTATCTTATTTAATTATTTAGTGTGTGTTTACTAAACCAGAGCTCAATGAGGGCACAGATACCACACCTCAGTATACCAAATGTCCAGGTATAGTATGCACTCAAATATTAAATAAACCAATGAATCACGATATGTTATCTTAATCCAGGACCGAGAATCAACGACTTAGCTAAGCATTTCACATGGAACCTTGACTCAGGGTTATGCCAACTCTGAAGACTTGTGAACCACAATAAAGAGAGGCCCAGCACTGACCTGACAGGCTGTACTTGAGGTCATTCAGGAGAGAGGTGGTTGGTGCCTCAAAAGCAGGAGAAGGAAGCTCACGTACACTTAGGTCTTCATTTTTCATTTTATCCATCCTGGTGCTCTCTGTATTTGGACTGTGCTTACAAAAAAGCAACACTCAGGTGAATTATTCTTTGTTGCTAATGCCATACACAGATTTTGCCACACATCAATGATAAGAACCCTAGACCTCTATTTCATAGACGGCCCATTCATCCACTGCTTACCTGACTTGGATATACCATCTAAAGATGGGAAAAATACCCATCTATTTTTTTCTCATTTCTGTTACACCTCAGGCCATTTTAGGAATTACCCAGCTAGTGAATTAGAGTTAGGTAAGACATTCTACCCTGATGTGTACATTTGGGTAACATCATAATTAAGAAAATTGTTCCATCATACCTTACAGAGGATGCCTTTTCCCCCAATGCAGTTTGTTCTGCTTCATCCAGTAGCTCCACTGTAAAATAAACAAATGACTTCCAACAGTTTCCAATCTGAAAGCAATTAACACTCCATCTATCCTCAGATGGACTGTGGATGTCTGGCTGTATACCACAGACAGTAATTAGAAATGAAATGTTGGTCCCTAGAGGACTTTATATGCTATCTATAAAAGAGAGTAGAAAAGACTATCCAAAGCACTAAAGACTCCTAATATTTATTTATACTTTTCAATTACAGTTGACATTCAGTATTATATTAGTTTCAGGTGTACAGCATAGTGGTTAGATATCTATATAACTTACTAAGTGATCACCCAGATACATCTAGTACTCCCCTGGCATCATACATAGTTATTGCAATATTATTGACTACATTCCGTATGCTGTACTTTACATCCCCATGACTATTTTGTAACTGCCAATTTGCAGTTCTTAATCCCCTCACCTTTTTTTTTTACCCAGTCTCCCAACCCCCATCCCATCTGGCAACAATCATCTGGTTCTCTATATCTATAAATTTGTTTCTGTTTTGTTGTTCACTTATTTTGTTTTTTTAGAGTCCATATATAAGTAAAATCATATTTATCTTTCTCTAATTTTTTTCACTAAGCATAATACCCTCTGGTCCACCCATGTTGTTGCAAATGGTAAGAATTTCATTCTTTTTATGGCCAAGTAATACTCCATTGTAGATATGCAGCACTTCTTCTTTATCCAAATGTCGATCACTATGTCCCTATGTAGCTTCCATGGCCATTCAGAAAGATTAGGAAACTCTTTACATGTGCCCTTTACCCTTTCTGCTCCAAGGCGCCTTTCTGGTCATACAAATTGGTTCTAGAGATATCTTTTCTCTTCTATTCATTCCTATCCTAATGCACTTTCCATCACACTATGTACTGTTTGGGAGTTTTCTATAAAATCATTTACAGAACTGTCCCCTTCAAAACTCTCATAGACTGCTACGTTAGTAGTTCAGTGACATGAAAGGTAATAAAAACTAGACTGGAAATCACAAAAGATATATGCGAGAAAACATTCCATGAGATTCAGAAACTTTATTTTTGACCTAGCAGTACAGGGAATATAGGAAATATTATATATCATTGATTCAATGATGCACATTTTAAACAGCTCTGAAATTGCATATGATTTACAGTAACTGCACATGACAATTTAATCGGCAGCATTTTTTCCTTCTTAGGGTGGGAAAAGTAATAGTGTATGTTACAATTAATGGCATCTTGATTCAATTAAGTACACTTAGTTACTTTTCGGGGGGAAAGGCTCTCAAGGGCCGCTCTCAAATGCCTCTTTCCCTAGCACTACCTAGAAGTGCTGAGCCAGGGGCAGAGAAGGTGAAATTCACTAAAAACCATGATTAGTCAATTATTATCCTTCATCTTGATCATTCTTATTCAAGGTGTTTTTCAGGGAGATCCCTCCATCCCTGACTGAGCCACAGGGCAAAGAAAGAGGAGGTCATTTTTTGAGCTGAAAAATTATGAACGCTAAGCCTTGAGAAAGAACTTGGGAGGAGATAAAATCCATGTGTACAGACCACAAAGCTAGTCAATGGTTAGTATTCTCCTGAGTTAGAGAGATGGTAGTACTGATCCCTTCACTTCTCGTTATGAACCCATCCACAGCCTAGCTTTGAGCCAGTCCAGAGCTCTGCTCCTCTGCAAAAGCTAATATTTAAAACACAATTAAAAATCCCACTACTGCCACCACTCTCACTGCCACATTATAAAAAGGTGTTCAGAGGGACAGAGTGCTTACAGAAGCATCTTCAGTGACAAAGGACAGTTAGATAGTTGGCTAGAAATGGGTCTGGATTGGCAGTCATTAATTTGGCGAGATTTTTGTCTCCCCTAAACCTTACTTCTCTCACAAAACAAAGTAATCTTTCCGACAGCAGTAATCTCATTTACAGGAGTCCTTTCCTTTCCTCATATTTGCCCAAATGGTGAGAAGACAGAAACCATTGCAGAACCCTGTGCAGACCTAGATCTCCCACTCTACCACCCTCTCCACACTGCACTGATCTTAATTCCTCCTTGGCGGGCTTTCTGCTTTTGAGCTCTTGAAAGCAAAAATAGTTCCTGCTCCCAGCCACTTTCTTAGCCCATTTGGCTTGTCTGAAGCACATGGACCAGCTGAGCTTCTACACTCTTTCAGGCAAACAACTGTGCCTATTCTTACCAAATGGCTTTGGTTGGCAGAAATAAAGAACAGGGCTGTTTCTGTGATTCCAAAACCTAAAAAGCTCTGAAAACCAAGAAAAGTTTTGGTAACTCTTTTAGTAGCAAACCCAAACCGACATAATATTTATAGTGCTATGTTATTCCACTTAGTATGATTATCCAACCATTTCTCTGTAGAAATGTTTTTCATTACAGAGTGCTGCCCAGATCCACTTGAGGTATTATGTAATATGAACAGTGCATATCCTGTGTTAGGTTTTCCAAAAGTCCAGAACCATTCTGGACTCTGAAACGTTCAGCCTCAAGGTTTCAGATAAGGGACTGTGAATGCACTGTGAACTAGTAGTGTTAAGCTTGCTTACTGAGCAAGACAGTTCCTTTCTGTCCAGATTCCTAACTCTGCCTGCTGGCTGAGTTCTAGTAATGAGCACCAGCAACCCTCACATTGTAAAACCAAGATGACTAATGACTATTCTGCTCGTAATATTCATTGAAACAGTAAGGGTCAATTCTCAAATACCAACTTAAGAGTTCATAAATGCAATATTAAAGGCAAGATAATACTTTTTTTTTTCAAATATTGAAAAAAAGGATGAGGCAGTGAGTGAGGCAGTGCAGTGAGTTTGTTACTAATGAAAATCCCAATATCAGAATTCCAGGAATATGAAGCTCTCACCATTAACAATCTCATGCCCAAAAAACATCTTCACTCCTGGGATACTTCGACCAGTCTCCACATTCTTCACTGTTATAGAAAACAATTCAGTTGGTTAATAAAAAAAATAATATTCCCTAAAACTATAAGAAAATATGTCTCTCAAAAGTGCCCAATCTGAGTTTTATAAAAAATTCCCAAATTATTTTCCCCAAGGAATGAAGAGTCAACAAAAAATTGCAACACTATAATTTTGAAACAAATAGAATAAAAAACAGAAGGAATCTTCCTGGTCAGTGTGGCTCAACTGGTTGGAGTATTTTCCCATAATCCAAAAAGATTGCAGGTTTGATATTTGGTCAAGGAACATGCCTAGGCTGTAGGTTTAGTCCCTGCTCAGGGCATGTGCAAGAGGCAACAAATTGATGTTTCTCTCACATTGATGTTTTTCTCCCTCTCTTCCCCTTCCCTTCCCCTTTCTGTAAAATCAGTAAGCATGTCCTTGAGTAAGGATTAAAAAAAAAAAAAAAAAAAAAAAAAGAGAGAACCTCAGAGAAACCAAAAGGGCAGCAGTAGTACACTGAACTCGAACTTCTCTGAAGAAGCAAAGGCTGGGTAGCTCAGTTGGTTAGAGCATCATCATCCCAATACACCAAGGTTGAGGGTTTGATTCTCTGGTCGAGGCACTTAAAAGAATCAACCAATGAAGGCATAAACAAGTGGAACAACAAACTGATGTTTCTCTCTCTCTAAAAATCAATAATAAATAAAAATTTAAACTTCTTCCAAGAATATGCTAAGGCCTTTGGGGCAAGGTATTACATATACTTACTATATTTTTATCGATTTTTATTCCACCTAACTCCAGAAGAATTTTAAGGCAGCTAACTATTTCTAGGGTCCACACTCATGTCATGCTACATGCTAAAAATATTAATTGGCAGGAACAACAATCCAATTCCTCATAGCAGATAAGGGAATTAGCAGTTTAGATGTCATGTCTACAACGTGGTGTTATTTATCTAGATGGAAATGCTCACAGCAGCTGTTACATGAGAAAATGCTTGTAATAATGGTAACTAAAACAATGGTATATATGACATACCAGACTTATATTATGTCCATTACATAAATCTATGTCATTAAAGACTACAGAGAAATTTACCAAAATATTTCATCTGGACTGAATGCTTTGTTGAACAAGCATGAGGCATTTACTGATTGTTGTCTACTCAGTACCATTTATTCAGGCTAGAAACATGCTCAACCTCCTTGTAGACAGTGGTGTTCTACTGGACTTCCAGAACATCTCTTTTAGGGGACTGACTCAGCTGGGTAGAATACCCTTTTCGCTGTTTTTCCTCTTCCTCTTGTCTGGAATTCTGAGGTTTGAAGCCATGTGCTAAAGATGGAAGAGCAGAAAGATGAAAAATCCCAGATCCCTGCCAACTTTGGGGAGTGTCACAATAGGCCTGGGATGTCTGCCTTATAAGGGAGAATAAAGTCCTAATTTATTTAAGCCCCTGGAAGCAAATCTGTTCCTAGCATCTGAGCATGGTTCCTAATGACACTGCATTAAAAATTTCAAGTAACTAACTTGAAAACTTTTATTCTTCCCACTTAAAAATCTTTCAGATTGTTCCACGTTGATTTCAGAAGTGTCAAAATGCTATGACATGTAAGGTCCTTCTAAATTATCCATGCCTACTTCTCCAGCCTTATTTCTCACATCTTTCAACACTAAAATTTACTTAGGGTTTCTAAATGCAGCACATTTTCATGTCCCTATATTTTTGTACATGCTGCAACTTCTGTTTAAGACAATAGTTCTCTCAAAGTGCTCCCCAGCACAGCATCAGCAACACCTGGAAACTTGTCAGAAATGTAAATTTTTTTATCCCTATCCTAGACCTTAAAAAAACAAGTCTCCAGGTTATTCTGATGCACAAAGTTTGAGAACCACTCACCTAAAACAGCCTTCCCCTTTCTTCCCAGCCAGTTAATTCCTACTCACCTGAATAAAGTTCTGCCATCAATTCCTCCTTGAGGGAAGCCTTCCCCACAGTACTAACCCTATCACTCTCAGATCTAAATTACCGGCAGCTGAACCTTTGTGTTCTCATAATATCTTGTGTGTCCCTTTATCAGAGAGAATATCACACTGTAGTACTGTATTAATACCTGCTTATGTCTCCATACTAGACTAAGTTTTCTGAGTACAGGGACAGTGTTATTTTTTTTCTTTTTAAATATTTTATTTATTTAAGAGAGGGAAAGGGAGGGAGAAAAAGAAAGACAGTAACATCAATGCTCAGTTGCCCCTCATGCCTGCAACCCAGGCATGTGCCCTGACTGGCAATCAAACCAGTGACCCTTTGGTTCACAGGTCGGCACTCAATCCACTGACCCACACCAGCCAGGGCAGAGACATGGGACAGTGTTATTCTTATCTACATCCCTAGTACCTAACACAGTCCTGGGATATAAAACTATCAATAAATAGTTACCAAGTGAATTAATCCTAGCCCACAAAGGTCATAATATGGCTTAACAATAACACTAATCTCTCAAATGTCCTTTATGCATATTTTAATAGTGAACTTGAAACTTACCATGCCAGGAAAACAACTACCCTAGCAAGTCAATATTCTAGCTGAATAAAAAACTACATATTGTAGCTTCAAGGTGAACACATGGAGGATCCAGGAGAGTGGCACACTCAGAGAGGGCATGAAAACTTCAAGTCCCTTCCCACATACCTTGCCCTATGCATCTCTTCCATTTGGCTGTTCCTGAGTTGTATCCTTAATAATAAACCAGAAATGAAGCTTGGAAGCTGGCAGGTGTAGGTTATTTTATTACCATGAGAATAATATTAGTTTGGCCAAATAATTCATTTAGTTTTTTCTGTATGACGGCTGTAGTAGTGTTTAGTTGTTTTAACTTCATTTGAAACAATTTTGTTAGATTGTATTGTGACAGTTGTCATATCAGTGTGCACTTAAAAAACTTATTAAAATTGGTGGATTTTTGTGCAGCCATTTTAATATTGAAGATGGAAGAAGATATGCAACATATTTGGCATATTATGCTTTATTTCAAGAAAGCTAAAAACACAACAGAAACACACAAAAAAGATTTGTGCAGCATATGGAAAAGGTGCTGTCACTGATGGAACATGTCAAAAGTGGTTTGTGAAGTTTCTTGGTGCTATTGACATTTTGGCCAAATAATTCTTTGCTGTGGGGCAGTCTTATGCATTGGAAGATGTTTAGCAGCACCCCTGGCCTCTACCCACTAGAAGCCAATATCAGGAGATAGCTGACATACTCAAAATATCCAAATCAAGAAAGTTATTGATGAAAATGAAAAATGCATGTTTTTTTTTACAAGAAACACTAAATGGACTTTTTGGCCAACCCAATAGACAATCACTGAGGTGGCAGAGCAGGAGCACAAGACATCACATTCCTCCTGGCATCTGCACTATTCCTAAGCAGCGTACCTACCTGTGGACTTCTTTTTGCATGAGAAAAAGAAATGTCTTTGTGAATTTGTCTGTTGAAGCCAAAAGCATATCTAACTAATGGAGAGGTTATTCATAATTTCAAGATGTATATGGAGAAAAATGAAAAAAAAAAACCCACCCAATTAAAAAACTCTCTATACTGAAATTGTCCACTATCATGTCAATAAAAGTATAGAAATGGAGACAAATTAGCATATGCAGCTATGTTGCTCTGCTAGGGAAAATAGCATTCTAACCTTCCTCTTACTCCTTGCCTAAAATAGGAATAATGACTACTAATGATCCCTGTGGAGCCCAGAGTCATCATTCAAACTGTTATTAATCTCTTAAATGGCAGAAGAGTATGAGAAATAACAAGAGACCTTTCTTTAGGACAACAATCTTGTTAGGGTCCACATGCTGGAGCACTCCCTCAAAGATGCCACAGACCAATGTGAGTTTCACCCTTCTCCACAAAATCTGATTGAGGAAATGGTAGTCACTGCTGAGATCCATGCCTTTTGATTCCAAAAGCAGTCTTCACGTAATCTTCACTGAGTATCTAAGCACTTGAAAATAAAAGAGATCTATGATTTTTAAAATATTTTGGGGAGGATGGGGTTTTTTCCTCTTTCCCCATACCTGGAAGGGACAAGAAAATTAAAACTATGAGAGTAACTCAGTTTTGTTCAACTTCTTAGAATGATAATGAGAAAAAGATCTCTTTAAGCACCAACTCTAATATTTACATGGGAAACGGAAAACCATAGGACTTCAGGCAAGGTAGACTTGGCTTCTTTGTCTATAAAATGTAGTAGTACCACCTTTCCTTCCTTTGTTAAATGAATAAGCACACTTAGAGGCTTTTAAATGGCACACGCTTATACCTTCTTAATACCAACCCAAAACAGAAAAGAAAAAATGAACAAAAATGGATACTAACATTTGTGACACATGCTGCAATAAACTGTTTACCCCGAAATGTCTGTGATCTCCCTACCCTCTTCTGGATCTAGCCCCTTCTAGATTAGTAACATTTCTGGAGTTTGGCACTTTTACCAACCAAATCATAAGTGACTTAGAACTCCCACAATTTATCCATTACCATTCCAGCTGCCATGTCACTGCCAGGGCCATTCCATCCCAACCTGGCCACAGCTCAGGCACTGGGCTGCCGTAGTGTCACCAACAAGTCATCACCTGACAGATTAAACTGCCACATGCCATACACGAGATTTTTAAATCCAACTGTTTTGTGAAAAATTTATAATTTCAAGGTGTATATGGAGAAAAATGAAAAACTCCCCAATTAAAAAACTCTCTATATTGAAATTGTCCACTATCATGTCAATAAAAGTATAGAAATGGGGACATAATAATGCAGAAATGTATAAAGAAAAAAACTATCTTATAGACATAAGTATCATTCATAGTAGACACTCATATTTTTAGTGTAATACTGTATATTAAAAGATGAATTTTTTAAAGTATCTTTTAGAATCCTGTTATTTGGATGTTCTTGTATATAGAACCCCAGATGAGTTTTCTTCTATGGTTGTTTCAATTTAAAAGCTGCTTGCCTTTGCCCAACTATGAATAGTCAACCACTGAATTTGCAATTTACTTTAAAATGAAACATTGATGGAACAATTATGGCATAATTCAACTAGGAAGAAGGTAAGAAGATACATAGTAATTTAAGCTAGATACATAACCTATATTTTTATATTTTAAGGTCTAGCAGGGGTGTCCAAATTTTGGTGTCTCAAGGCTACACTGAAAGAAGAAGAGTTGTTTTGGGCCACAAATTAAATACATTGCAACATGTAATCACACACAAAAAAATCTCATAATGTTTTAAGTGAATTTATGATTTTGTGTTGAGCCACATTCATAGCCACCCTGGGCCGCAAACGGCCCATGGCCCCAGGTTGGACACCCCTGGGAGAGGGCTTTTACAAATGTTATTTGTTGCCTACAACAACCACCGCCTAATTTACACATGCAGAAACTGAGGCTTAAAGATTTAAAACACCTGCCCAAAGTCACATATTTAGAAGGTAGTGGAACCTGAACTAAAACCAGGCACCTAGGGGAGAGTATGTGTAGTCTAGGGCAAGACCAAGTGTTAAGCATCCAGAGAATATTGTCACCAAAGCGTCTGAGAAAATCATTTTTTTTAAGTCAACCCAGTAGGCAAAAAGGGAATTTTCACAGAAACAATAGGACATAAAAGTGGAAAAACCAGACCAAAAATTCATTTATATTTTTAAAAGATAAGAAATAAAAGTTTGTGAAATGCTTGCAAAGTAAGGAAACTTAAGAAATGTTAAAGTCAAGGAAAAAAATTAACACAAAGCAAAGAAAGCTTTGACTGAAGACACCTGCAAATGGAAGATTCAAGATTAGAAAGGAAAAACTAAGATCAGGATCTAGAGATGGGCTTCAAGACAGACTCACAACAGGGCCATTCCGGTGGCTGACATCAAGATTTTTCTACCATACCCACACTCGCAAGATTAAAAAGAAGCTCCTATGGCTTCTAGACAGGCATATCAAAACCATCCCACTCAGGACATACGGAAGCAGACATCACTAGGTCCATCAAGAGCAAATCAGTAATGAAAACAACTCGGTGAGTCTAGAACCTAGGTCTCATGCTAAGCCCTCAAAGCCTTAGGCAAAGGTTAAAACTAATAACTCAAATTAAATTGGGCAGCTTGCCAAGAGCCCCCCAATGTATATGTATTAAGTGATAGCGATCAGAATCTGGTTCTAATCATATCTGAAACCTGATCTGTACAAAACAACTAAAGCCCTGGCCCAGCAGCTCAGTTAGGCCAAGGTGGGGAAGGCTGTGGGCCTTGATCCCAGGTCAGAGCACATACAAGAATCAACCAATGAATGCATCAATAAGTGGAAATTGATGTGTGTGTGTCTGTCAAAATAAAATTTTAAAAATTTAAAAGAAAAAAACCCACTTGAGGGGTGTGTGTGTGTCTGTCTGTGTGTGTGAGGGGGTTCTTAAAAGGCATTGAAGCCACAGGAAAAGATCTACCGGTAGTTCACCTGAGAGGGTGTACTAATTTAACGGGTACGGTTGTCTTCAAGAAAATAAAAATATGTCATAAGAACAAAATGCAAGATTCCTCATTTTTAAGGCAAATAATAAAATAAAAGGCGAGCCATACACTAGGAATTCACTCTTCTTTGCTGTTTGGGGGTTTTATCCGAAGGAAGTTTGGGAAATCCTGTCCCACTTTTCGCCAAACGGTGAGTTCCTCCGGCCTCAGGCTTTACAACTTTAAAACTGAACTGCTGTTGAAGAAGAACTCTGGGCGAGTTCCAAGCTCGCGGCGGCGGTTATCTAAGGACAGGAGAAACGTAGGGAGCCCGGGGAACCCGCTCCACTCAACGGACGCGCCCAACGAGAGGTCCAGCTGTTTCCTGAAGAGCCAATCAGCGCGCAGTCCCGAGACAGATTCCCCAGCGCCCCCAGCGGCCAGGAGAAAGAGAGGGCTTCTCAGAAAAATGAAAAACGAGGAAATGCAACTCCCAGCATGCCGTTCCCAGGAGACACACCCTAGAGTTCGCACAGGCGACGTTTAGTCTGTCTATTTTTATTGTTTTTCTGCGCCGAATGCTACCCATAGGGTGGGATTTCTGTGTTAGAGTTCTGTGAGACACTGCTTTGTTACGGGCTGCCTGTCGCACGTTAGCTCGTTGTAAAGTGAATCAATGGCATTGCCCCTTTAATTGCAGTCGCTAGAGCCAGAGTGGCATTGCTCTTTTAAGGACGGTTGCATCACAATTCTGGGGGCGGGGCTTACCGGTAGGGCTACCGGGCTTGGCGCTCCGGTGATTCATTCTGAGGCCGGAGCTGGGGTCGCCTACGTCGTCTCCTGCGCCGGGCTCAGCCTCGCTCCTGATTGGCCACCCTCGGGGCCGCCCCCGGCCGCGCAACACCCTCGGGTACCCTCCCCAGGCTGTGGTGGATACGCTGCCCTCTGCCTTCTTGATCCCTGGCCCTTCCTCTGTCCCCTCCTTCTCTCCGACTACCGCAGTCCTTTCTGCCGCGCCTGCTCCCGGAGGAGCTCCCGGCTCGGTGATGGGGTCTCGGGCCTCCACGTTACTGCGGGACGAAGAGCTTGAAGAGATCAAGAAGGAAACTGGCTGTGAGTTCGGGTAGGGGGTGGGAACGCGGGCTTCAGGACCCAGGGCTGCTACCGCTGAGGTCTGGAGCTGGGGTACCTGGAGGTTTGGGGGGTACTGGTCAGCCTCCAGCACTGGAACTTCGGGGCTGAGAGCTGGAGAACCTGTTCTTCCAGCTACGTCTACCCAGAGCGGGGTTCTGGCTCTTGCGGGGGCTGTCCTTTGCCTCAAAGGCAGGCGTGTAGATTACTTGTAGGGCACAGACACTGCTCATTTCTCCTCTCCCAGCTAAGGAAAGCCTCCGACCCCCTTTATCTTCCCACCAACCTGAAATTCAGGAATTCTGGATGGACCCTGTAGAAGACAAAATCGCTTTCTGGGCAAGGACTTAACACCACTGACATCTGTGGGAAATCCAAACAAATTCTTGCCACAGTTGGGGAAAAAAAAACCCGCAGAAAGTCAGTCGTATAGTAAGACTTTGAAAGATGTGACTCGGTGACAGGAGACCTTGAAAGAATCAGGGATCTGACGGTATACTTTTGAACTTGTGGAGAAAAGGCATGGATACTGTGACCGCCGGTTTTTACTTACTCTGAGGATGCTTGCTGTCCCTATTTCAGCTACATTGATTTCTACTGTGCTATTGTGCTTTATGCAGTCACCATGGAAATTGGACATGTTCCAAAAATCTCAATGTGAATTTGTACTAGGAACTGATTTTTTTTAATAGTCCAGTCTCTTCTTCATTAACCTGAGCAAAGGAGCAGCAAGGCTTTGGGAATTCAAATCTCTGTAAAACACCATCACCCACATTGGTATAGCCCTTGATAATGCATATGATACTTTCTATTCTCAATTATCCATTATGACTCTTGTATTTTACATGAGTTATGTAAGCATCTGAAATTTGTCCCTTCATGATACCTGTCTACGACAGTGAGGTAACCAGTAACTCAGTGGCCTATGTGCAGGTAATATTGGAGTATACTGAGAGAACTACAGAATTACGCAGGCAGTGTGACCTGAGATAAATTCAGTGCTGTCCAGTGCCTTCTGACAAATTAAACTTTCTATAACCTTAAAGTCGGAAGGGCTGTTATTTAGCCTCAGTTCTTGTCAGAGTGGATTATTGCTTTCAGCATCCCGTAAGGTATGTCCGTTATGCTTCTCCATAAAGACTAACAATGATGAGCTCAATGTGTACCATTGCTGTCCTTTTCATGGTTTTGGATAATGACAGAAAGTAGTTAGCTGTTTATAATGCCCCATTTGTTTGGCTACTTAACTTTCTGGTCAAGCATTTTATTACATTTTGTGGCCATGATCCCTGGCCTTTCTTGAAAATATAAGAACTATGTTAGGTCTAAGGTGACAGAGGTAAAGCATTTGTGCTTAAAATAAAAAGTCACATTAATGAGGAAGTGTAAAGTGTGGATGGGAAAAGGCTGTTTTTTGTCTCAAGATAAAGGGAGCAGTAATCCCATTCTGACGTATTTACATTTGACCAAATGAAAATGGTCTGGGTGCTAAAGGACTCTGGATTATTTTACTGTATGACTTTCGTAAACACAGAACTAAGTACTCCTGGAAGAGCTGTTTTCCTCGTTATCAAAAGGTGAGTCAAGCCTCACAGAGAGTCTTAACCACAACCAGTGCAAATGTATGTACTGAACCAGAAAGCCTAAAGAAACAAGTACTTACTAAATTCCTGCAATGTCTGTATTCAGTACCGCGCTAGGTATCCCAAGCAAATGGTGATGAAAGATGCCCACAACTTGGTGGTGGAGATAAACCCACAAGAGTTAGGATTAGCATCAGGATATAAGGTTACTGAAATTGTGTGATACCCACCTGCAGAATTCAGGGAAGCTATGGGGCTGGCCTTGTGGAGGACAAGCACTGGGCTTTGACTTGTGTGTGAATAGGTTACATTTGGATAAATTAGGACATTTTAGTGGCTTCCAAGAGCATTACCCCCCAGCCTGCTACACAGTTATTCCTCCTCCCTAGGAGTTGAGCCATCAGTTTATCTAGTTAGTGTCCATCAGCAGAATTTATTTTATTTTATTTTTTTAAGTAAGTTTAAAAGTTTTCAATTACAGTTGACATATGATATATTAGCTTCTGGTGTACAATGTAGTGATGAGATAGTTATATAACTTACGAAGTCATCACCCCAATGAGTGTAGTATCCACGTGACACCATATATAGTTATTAGAATACTATTGCAGAGTTAGTTTTTAAAGCAGTAGTTTTAAAGCAGTATGATATCAAAGGCTTAGAAGAATAAAAATAACAGGGTGGGGGAGAGAGATGGAATTTGCCCTGATTTTATCTGCTTCTTAGTTTGGGAAACTATCAGTCAGAAACACTTGAAGTTAAACACAAGTGTAAGACATTTCACTGTTCCCTTTGCCTGTAAGAAAATATAGCATAATTGAGGAAAATTGACTTTAAATTGCAATCAATAAAAAATGTAAACAAGTTTTCCTAAGTCTAAATTGATTAGAATTCATGTTCACTAGTTTAGCCAGCATTTGAAATTTAATCTAAGTGATTCTAGGAAAGTAATTCTAGGTAAGAATTACTGGTAACATCTAGTCTTAATTAAGCCTAGACTGCATTCTTGAGAGTTAATTTTGGTGTTCTTGATTTAGTTTATTTTCTATTTCCTTTCATTCTTTAGCTTTTAAATTTTCTCCTTTGACACTCTAGTAATGAGTTATTTGAGTCATTTCCCATACAAGAATAAACCAATGAATGAATAAGTAAGTGAAACAACAAATCAGTATTTGTCTCTCCTTCCCTCTATCCCTCCCTCTCTCTCTCTAAAATCAATAAATTAAAAACACTTTTAAAAAAATAGCCATTTAGAATATATGCACATGTTAATTGCAGCATTATTTACAATAGCCAAGATATGGAAACAACCCAAGTGCCCATGAATAGATAAGTGGATAAAAAAAAGGTGAGATGTGTGTGTGTATACACATATACAATGGAATATTACTTGGATATGAAAAAGAAAAATCTTAACATTTGGGACAGCATGAATGAATCTAGAGGGTGTTATGCTAAGTGAAATAAGACAGAGAAAGACAAATACCATATGGTTTCACTTATATGTGGAATCTAAAGAGTAAAATAGCCCTGGTGGTATACTCAGTGGATTGAGTACAGGCCTGCGAACCGAAGAGTTGCCAGTTTGATTCCCAGTCAGGACACGTGCCTCATTTGCAGGCCAGGTCCCCAGTAGGGGACCATGTGAGAGGCAACCACACACTGATGTTTCTCTCCCTCTCTTTCTCCTTCCCTTCCCCTCTCTGTAAAAATAAAGAAATAAAATATTTTTTTTAAAAAGGTGAAGGGATTAAGAACTACAAATTGGTTGTAACTATGAAATAGTCATGGGGATATAAAGTACAGCATAGAGAATATAGTCAGTAATATTGTAATAACTAGGTACGGTACCAGGTGGGTACTTGAATATCAGGGGGGACACTTTGTAAAGTGTATGATTGCCTAACCATTATGCTGTACACCTGAAACCAACACAAAATAATAATGTCAACTGTAATTGAAAAATAAAGAAAAAACAATTAGATTCAAGTAAGGAAAAAATTGAGTTCCACAATATCACTTGAGACAAATTGTGTAAATAAGAAGTAAAACATATTAATACAATGCCTGAATAAATATCAGAATATATACATCCACAAGAAAAAAATAGCCATTTAATCTGAAAATTAATTTATGCCAACTGATTAGTAATGAATACAGATTCACTTATTTTTAGTCTGTAGCTTCTGGTGTGTGTCATTTGGTTTGAGGAGGTGTTAGATTGGTTTAGGAAGTAAATGTTACTTCCTAAAGATTGCATATTTTTCACAGGTGTAGTGATGATAGAACCAGCATGGACTTCTGGACAGTTGTAACAAAGAGCACCAGGCTGGCAAAAGCAATTGAGAATAATTTCCTAGGCTAGAATATAAGTGGAAGTTCAACTTCAGGCTGTGGCTGCTACTACCTCCTAATGCAGAACCTCTTCCTGGCTCTTACCTGCCATGCCATAGTCCCTGAAGTTTCTGTCACTGCAAAAGACCCTTCTGTCTTCTGGCTTTAACTGAACTAGAAATGCACATAGTATAACTTAACACCTGTAGTTGGTTTGGGGTTAAGTGATTTATACTTCTCTATACTCCCCCCCAACTTATTATAATGAAAATTTTCAAATACAAAAAAAAGTTGAAATAGTATAATGGTCTATATACACCTCCCACCTTAATTCAACATTTGTTAACATACTATATTTACTTTACATATTACACATATGTTTAATGAACCAGTTGAAAGTCATATCAGAACTCTTCATCCCTAAATACTTCTGCATGAAGTATACTTCTGCATTTAGTATTCCTATATAACTACAACTCTATTATCACACCTGAGAAAGTTGACAGTAACACTATTATACTATCCACCATTCAGTCCATATTCAAAGTTCCCGCAATTGTAAAAAGGTTGTTTGGGGTTTTTTTTTATGTCTTTTAAGTCTCTTTTATTTTTTAGATTCCCTAAGAGAGTAGGTCAGCTCTTGAAGTTCTCTTGTCAGGGGAAATGCTGGGGTGAGAATACTTAGGGGCGCAGGGTTTGACACCTCAGTCTTTTATCTAAAGTTACCTTTGGTTGCTGTTGTATGCTTTACCTAAGTTATCAGTCTGTTTTCCTGCATTAAGATTTAAAATAAAAGTGAGGGCAAAATAACTTTTTTTTGGTTCCTCCCTTTTCATTTTTATTTTTCCCTCTACTATTTCTCCTTAGTGTTTGGTACTTGTCTGAAATGCCCTCCTCCTCTGAGCTCGAGGCAATGACGATAGAAAGATTAGCAGGGCCTTCTAAGTAATCTTTCAACAATATATAATAATTATTTGCCCATCAGTAGAGAAAAATACAACTTCATTCAAGACATGTCCATGTGCGCAGCCTTCTGAGAGTAATTGTTGACTCCTGAGACTTTCTCTGAGTTTCCGTGATTTGTGCAGCTTTGGGGCACTTGCCCTGCCGGCTAGCCTAGTGCTTTCTGGTGAGAATGTTATACTGGAAACTTGTCCTGCCTTCAGTTTGTGGCAGTTGCAGTACCGTTCTGCTTCTTGAAGTTGCTCTGAATACTGTGCCTTGAAGGTTGCTTTATATTCTTGGTCACAGTGAATTTAGCACCAAAATTAAAGCTTTAAAACTTTCCCTCCCTCCCTCCCTCCCTCCCTCCCTCCCTTCCTTCCTTCCTTCCTTCCTTCCTTCCTCTCTCCTTCCCTCCCCCCACCTGTTTTCTTCTTTTTCCTGTTCTGTCTTTTTTTCTTCTCCTCCTCCCTCTGTCAACAAAGTTCTTTTTAACAGTATCATTATAACAATGGTTATGAAATTTAGGAAATTGAGATGTGACTGTATTCAGTTGTGTTAAAAGTTGACATATAGCCCAGTTTGTCCTAGAAGAGAGCAGTTTATGGTTGTTTGGCTACTTATTTACATACTTACTTTTAACATACTGGTGAATTATGAACTCAAGCAGCCAGAAACTGGTCTTTTATTCTGAAATATGGGGTGTAAATGCCATACCAGTACTTACTAAGGGAATTTAAAAAATCATACTATAAGAGGTTTCAGCGCTTAGTTCTTTCAGATGATGATCTAGATTAGAAAGGTAGCTGATGGTTCATTTATAAATTGAAGGGATTGGCCTAGATGACAACATTCCTTCCAATTTTAAAACTGTATAAATCACTATATGTGATTATTTATACACATGTGAAATTTTTAGTAGGATTCACAAAAAACTGGTAATAGTGTTTGCCTCCTGCAAGAGAGACTAGGGAACTCAGTTGCTGCAGAGACTTCAATTTGAATGATTTCCTTGTTAAAGAAAAGTAATCTGAAATATATACTAGTCTGCTAAAAACCAATCCAGTGGATTAAATATTGTGCAGTTATTAAAAAGGTCTGCAGAGCAATATAGAAAACTTGTGAATTAATAAATTAAAAGTAAGCTATCACACCTATGTAGTCAAGTGACTGATATTAGATGGTATATGAAAAAATGAAAACAGTGCTGTTGAGATTGTGAACAAATTTTGCTTTTTCAAAAAATCTTTTGGGAACGTTAGTAATTCATTAACTAGTTAATTTTGTTAAACTAAAAGGAATTTGAGTTTGAGAGAAGGCTTTAAGGCCCCAGGCCAATGCTGGGGTGAACTCATCAGGTTCCTGAAGAAAATGGCTGTGGCTGGCAGAGTCAGGAGAAAGGTGGAGAGTAGTTAGTGCAGGTGTAAAACTGTGCCTTTAGGCTTGTGATGTAAATCCTTACCTCATGATGATAACAACTACCCTGGAGTGCTTATTGCCATGTGCTACTTTGGCAAGCACTGTCTTCTCGTGTACTCTGTTAGTTCTCTCCATGGCCCTGTTCACATGCTACTCGCTGGTTAGCCTGGCTCGGTGCATGGAGCATCACTCTGTCAACCTGACCCTCCCCAGAGTGTACTCTTCACACCTGCCCAGCGGGCAGAAAGGTCCACAGAGCTTCCTCAGTGCCTGGACCCGCACTGGCTTTGCGCTGGCTGGGGATGATTGGGCCGCATTCTCTGCTCCCTGCTCTCCGATGCTGAAGCAGCCACAGCTGCACCTGGTGTGTAGTCTCAGCCTAGCTTTGGGCCACTCACTTCCTGCTTTTCCTGCTCTGCCCCTGTTTACTTTGTCCTATTGTTTCTCAAACTGCAAGTACATTTTCGTTTCAGGAGCTGGGGAGGGAAAGACAACCATCAGAACTCTTTCAGCCTGAAGGTACAGCCTGGGACAAAGTCCACATTTGCCACACCCTCTTTGGCTGTTGTCTTTTCTCCTTTGATAACTTTTTTTCCTCCTACCTCCAGTGTGTCAGGAGACTAAACTATTTCCCAGAAATTCCTTTTTGCATTTTTCAGAGTTTTATTGTGCAGTTATTACCTCATGTTAATTGTCAGCTTGTGCCTGAGTTAATCCAAAATGAGGAGCCAAATAGGTTCTTTGTAGATGTCATATGACGATAACATGACAGTTTTACAGATTGCTTCGTTTATTTTCTTGGAGCCCATTCCTTTACTGGGAGCTCAGAAGAGCTCTTGCAGTCACAGGAAAGCGGGTGATCCAAGGCTGTGGTGATCTTTTACTGAGGGAAAGGTCAGTACTGAGGGAAAAGATAAAGCCACTAATGCTTGGTGCAGGAATAAACCAGATTTTAAAAATAGAACCTGAGTGCCCCAGTCTTAAATTCAGTACAAGCTCCCTACCTAGCAGTGCCAGCCTGAAACCTCAAACTGATGAATAAGTATGTGTTTTTAAACAAAGCACTCATTTTCATAGCCTCTAAGTGAGGGGACTGAAAGGTGAAATTCTCACAATTTCCTTTTCAATGAAAATTGGCTTTGTGTTGTTAAATCTTAACCACCTGATATTTACCATGACACCTCGTCTTAATTAAGCCTAGACTTCATTCCTGAGAGTTAATTTTGGTTCTTGATTTAGTTTATTTTCTAATTCCTTTCATTCTTTAGCTTTAAAATTTTCTCCTTTGTCACTGTCGGGATGTGTTAATTGAATCATTTCCCTGTTTTGCTCACTTTGAAGCAATTAATGGTGGGCTTGGTCCAAAAAGGCAGCCTGCTTCCAAAGGGCCACAGGGGTTCAGTTTGAGCGCAGGGCGTCTTCTCCATCCGGGACTAATTCTGTGTTCTTCAGTTTCCCACAGTCAGATCACCCGCCTCTACAGCCGGTTCACCAGCCTGGACAAAGGAGAGAATGGGACTCTCAGGTAGGCAGTTCCGTTGTTTTGCGTCGATGTCTGAATAGCTAGCTGCCTTTATCCCAAAGGCAGACACAGTAGGCACCTAGCATGCAGTTTGCAGGGACCATTTCTTCACTTGTCTTTCTTTGACTGTCTTTGATCCAAAAGGGAGTTAAATAAGCAGAACACTAATATTACATTTATCACTAGGTGCTTGTTGCTGTACTCCAGCTCCCCTTAGATTGGGTGGCCACTGTTCTGATCCTAAGAATGTACTTTTGAGAATTTCAGTTCTCTCTGCTTGAGTTTTCTCATACCCCTTTCCCAAGAATATTAGCTTTTAGAGGGTTGACCCATCATAACCCAAGGCGGGGTCAGGTAGTTTTGTCCTCTCTCCTATTTCCCAGCACAACCTATAACACTAGGGTATGTCACTTTGTAGTATTAATGTTACATAAGATGTTCAATATTTTAATCCAGACCAGTCGTGCTCAACTGAGAGCTGCTTTGCCCCTGGGTGGCAGAATGTCTGGAGACATTTTCGATTGTCATGACTGAGGAATGCCACTCTTGTCTAGTGGGTAGAGGCCAGGAGTGCTGTTAGACATCTTACGGTGCACAGGACACCCTCCCACAACAAAGAATTGTTCTGCCCTAAATGTCCAAAGTGCTGCTGGTCTAGAGTAAGTACATGATTTCAGAGTAACTTAATGCTCTATCATTTCATATTTGTAATTGTCTTATCATAGTCAAATGAAAAAGTACCTCCTTACCACCACCTCCCAACCTAACTCTCAGTAACTTTGTTACTGTTATTCCTCAGCTTTGATTGACTGGTATAGAATGAAGCTGCTTGCCTTTCTGGTGGCTGGCAGAAAGCACTTTAGTTCTTCGGAAGCTTCTAGTATGTGTGTGGGATGTTGCATAAAGGGGGAAGGAATATAGTTGCTAAGCCTTTATATGTATCCTGAGGCAGAAGAGCTGGAGAATGCTGGCAAATCCATAGAGCTTTGTTTTGTTCAAGGCAAGATCTGCTGTTGCTAGAAGCTGGAATTAACCAAAACTGTGCTGCACAGTCATTAAAATATGGAATGCCTACCATGTGTGAAGACCACGCTAGGTGCTTTTCCTTATTCTTTTTTAAATTAAGGCAAAACACATATAACATAACACCATTTTAAAGTGTACAATCAGTGGCATTAAGTATATTCACAATGTTGTGTAACCATAACCACTCTCTAGTTCTACATTTTCATCACAGATGGAGAGTCTTACCCATGAAGCAGTCTAGTTGCCCTACCTCCGGAAACCACTAATCTAATTACTTTCTCTCTTTGGACATTTTATATAAGTGGAATCATACAGTAGATGGCCTTTGTGACTGGCTTTTTTATTTAACATGATATTTTCAAGGTTCTTGCATTATAACAAGTATTAGTATTTCATTCCTTGTTATGGCTGAATAATATTATATGTATGTTCCACATTTTATTTATTCATTCATCAGTTGGGTTGTGTACGCCTTTAGGTTATTATGAATGTGCTGCTGTGAACATTTTTTTGTGTGGGCATGTGTTTTAATTCTTTTGGGCATGTACCTAAGAGTAGAATTTGAGTCTATGGTAATTTTGTTTAATTTACTAAGGAACCACCAACCTATTTTCCCAAGCAGCTGTACTGTTTCATTTTCCATTCCCACCAGCAATGTAGGAAGGTTCAAACTTCTCCACATCCTCACCAACACTTATTATCTCTCTTTTGATTCTAACTATGTAAGTGGGTGTGAGTGGTATATCATTGTGGTTTTGATTTGTATTTCCCTAGTGACTAATCATGTGAAGCATTTTTTCATGTGCTGGTTGGTCATTTGTGTTTCTTCTTTGGAGAAATGCCTGTTCATGTCTTTTACCTGTTGTTTAATTGGTTTATTTGTCTTTTTGTTGCTGAGTTGTGGGAGTTCTTTTGTATTCTAGATATTAGACCCTTTTCAGATATATGATTTGCAAATATTTTCTCCAATTCTTTGGATTGTCTTTTCACTCTTCATAGTATTCTTTGAAGCACAGAAGTTTTAATTTTGATAAAATCCAATTTATCTGACTTTTGGTGCGTGTGCTTTTTCGGTGCCATATCTAAGAAACCATTGCCATATGCAAGGTCATGAAGATTTACCCCATGCTGTCTTCTAAGAGTTTTGTAGTTTTATCTCTTATATTTAAGTCTTTGATTCATTTTGAGTTATGTATTTTATACATATACGCAAAAATATGTTTTATATACATGCTATATATATCATATATATGTGTGTGTGTATATATATAGTGTGTGTGTGTGTGTGTGTGAGGTAAGAGTCAAACTTTTTTGTTTTTTGCATGTGGATATTCACCTGCCCCAGCACATTTGTTGAAGAAACTATGTAAATTTGCATTTGAAAAATAAACCAGATTAGAAATCTCTACATCTCCAGGACTCCAAATCTTCAGCTCCAATACGTGAATAATTTGCTTGAGTTTGGGATTATATCTTCCTCATAAATTCAGATTTAACCACTAAGTAAATATATAGATTCAAATTAGTTCTGATTCCTTTTCTTTATATAAAGCGAGTGATTTGTAACTGTGTATGTTTTAATCACTCTCACTATTTGCTAGGGAACAGAGGGAAAGCTTTTGTAAAAGGGACTCTTTCTCCTTAGAAGGGGGTGAAAACTTTCCAGATGTCAGCTAATGTTACCTGCTCCTTAAAATCTAGGTAACACTTGCTCAACCCTTAAAACACTATTTCACACTGGAAAGCCAGTGAATTATTAACTCACTCATTTGACAGGAGTTATTGAGTACCACTGCTCTCAGTGCTGGCTTCTACAGATTCTTGGTGGAAGAAGAGGTACCAGGAAGTGATGGGGTAATTCTTGATTTCTTGGTTACCTGGATCTAACTGATTTTTTATACCTAGCTTTATAAAGTACTAGGTCTTAAATCTGTTCTTTAATCTCCATCATGGTATGCATTAAAATATGGGGGAAGCCCCAAGCCACCTTGAGTGCAAGAAGAAATGACCTCATTGTACTATATAGTTAACAACTAGAATATCTATGTAAGTCATTTTGTTGGACCCACCAACTATCAGTGAGTTCACATGGCTGTGCCTCCTGACAGTGGCCTTCTCAGCCTCTGGTCATCTTATTAAATTGTCTTCCCCTCTCCCCCAACCCTGTCTTCTGTTCTACTCCCTCCAGCCTTAAAGATTACCTGGTATACTCTAAATTCTTCTGTCAGTACAGAGCAATTTAGTGTCTCCAATCTCTCACTGCCAAACTCGGGTCAAGGCCTATCTCGACCTTTCCAGTACCTATCTGGGTATCCAGCCGATTACAGACGACCTCCAATATTTTGCTACCTGGAACAGACTTTTAGGAGAAATATTTTCTCGTCTACATTTTCTTCACTTTCCTCTGCTAAGATGCTCAATGTCTAAAGCCAGATTCTGCAGAGTGAGAGGCTGTGGCGTACCACCCAAAGCATTCTGCATTCCTTTGTAGCGTCAGTCCCAGTGGGAACATGAGGCAGAAACTGCACAGCTTTGGTTAGAAATGGAACTTGTGGAAAGTGCTCTCAGAGATTGGCCCCAAAGTATGTTTTATAGAACGCTAGTTCCTTGGTCTTCCACCTAAATGTTGTGTTGAAAAGAAGACAGACAAAAGTTATCCACTAAATTTTGTGAAAGCTTAGTAATAAACATGGCTAACCTGGCTTCTTTATTATGGGGTTTCCCAGCATCTTTAATATGCTCGAGTGAATTGGGCATCTTCAAGACGGGAGTATTGTAAACAGTGTTTGCCAAATTGGTTAGTTATTTCTGTGCAGAATCCCTTTTACATGGACTATCTCTTCAAATTGGTGTTTCATAGAATACTGTAACCTCACAAATCTTACTTTCCTAAGATGCTGTTATGTTGGGTGAAATGTACCACTGCCATTGAAATAGGTCTTTCTGAAAAGGCAGTGGAGTCCTGTAAGGAATCCTGAAATGGTCAGTTGCAGGGCAGATCAAAATGGGAGCCTTTAAGTATAATCTGTGCTGATCTAATCCATGGTCTTAGAAGTCAAAATATGATTACCTATCAGAGACAGGAACAGGTAGAGACAAAGGGAACATCTGGGTACCAATCATTTTCTTGACTTGGGTACCAGTTACAATCTTCACCAGCAAAATTCATAATGCTGAATGCTTCTGGCTTGTCCTCTTTTCTATGTATATGTTATACTTCAGTAAAAGTTTACCTCAGAAAGGTCCTCTGCCTATTAAAATTGGCAGTAAACTTTAAAGGTCTTTGTCAGATAATTATTTTTCTCACATAAAACCTTGATGAAAAATATTTCTGGATATTAAATTCTATAGGTTAGGTTGACTATAGGGGACAGTACAGACCAGCTAAACTCTGTAATGAAGTTATTACTGGGAATTGCTGGTTGGCTGTGTTGTTTGATATCACTTAATGATTACCTATAAATGTTAGGAGACTGTGTCCTGAGTGGTAGCTGTTTTTCTGCTTAAACACTAAGTGTTTTTAAGGTTAATTTTCTTGTTTCATTTTATCAAGGATAGATGATTTCAATATTCTGGACAAGCACTTGCTCTGTAAACAGTGATAACAGTCACTCCAGAATGGAGTTTCACAGATGAGAACCATGATACCAATGTAATTCTCTCTTTTTTTTTTATTTATTTATTTTCATTGTTGTTCAGTTACATTTGTCCCCAGTTTTTCCCCCTGTTGCTCTTCCCTGCCCCGTCCAATCCCTGCTCCCAAAGACAATCCCTACCCCATTGTCCTTGTCCATAGGTCTTTTGTACATGTTCCCCATCCCCCATTACCTCCCCTCCCCCACTCCCCTCTGGTTACTGTCAGTTTGGTCTTTATTTCCATGTCTCTGGTTCTTTTTGGCTCATTTGTTTTGTTGATTAGGTTCCACTTATAGGTGAGATCATATGGTATTTGTCTTTCACCACCTGGCTTATTTCAC